TCTTCTCCTACCAGGGGCCTCTATTGTCCGCATGATGACTTATTTTCTGGGCGAGTCTACCTTCCGCAGAGGACTGAACAGTTACCTTAACACCTTGTAAGTGGTCCTCCTCCGAGTATACTGTGTATATGATAACCATAGTTCATGCTGCACATAATAACGACTATGTATCATGTAAGCCTCTCTCGTTTCTCGAGGTGCACCTTACAGCAACAGACATAAAATCAGAGTAAATCATTTATTCCCTCAGCGCATACACCAACGCCGAACAGGACGATCTCTGGGAACACCTGACAGCCGCTGCTCACCGTGACCGAAAGCTTCCCGAGAGCTTGACCATGAAGACGATCATGGACACGTGGACGCTACAGAAGGGTTTCCCAGTCATCAAGGTAGCGAGGAGTCCAGATGGCACGTCCGCCCAGGTCTCTCAGGTAGGGCGAGGGCTTTTGAGAAAATGGTCGTCTTTTATTGGCAATTCACGTCACCCTCAGACTTTCCCAATTTCATTCTACAGAGATGTGTCTCCACAGGAACATTTTATGCTGATGAAGGAGAGAAATCCGAGCAGGACCAAAGCCTTGCGATGGTGGGTTCCTCTCAGCTTCACGTCGCAGCGCGAGGCCAACTTCAACCAGACAGAAGCCAGGGGCTGGATGAAGGACTCTGAGGAGAGAATTACTCTCACGTCACTGCCCCCGAAGGACCAGTGGGTCATCTTCAACCTGCAGCAGACGGGCTACTACCGAGTCAACTACGACGACCACAACTGGGGCCTCCTCATCCAGCAGCTGAGGGACGACCACAAGGTCATCCACGTCGTCAACCGAGCGCAGATCATCGACGACGCCATGAATCTTGCTCGAACCGGTACAGTGTCTTTCTTGGTTGTACTACTTAACTAGCTTTCCAATTCTTTTCTAGTGTCTAATGTGTAGGCCATCATGTTGAACTCTTCAAGGAACTAAGTAATTCTCATCGACATTATCATAATGGAGTAACGAATGATTATACTATCTATCCGTGCCCGATTTAAAGGTCAGTTAAGCTACACGACCGCCTTGGATGTCTACGGTTACCTGAAGAAGGAAAGGGACCTCCTGCCGTGGACCTCCGGCATTTCGAACGTCGGCTATGTGATGCTCATGCTGGGCCAGACACCTGCTCTCCCTGCGCTGAGGGTGAAGTAGACGCAGTTTGGTCTCTTAATCGTTGTATATTGCACATGCACACATAGATAGATAGAACATAGATAGATAGAAGATAGATAGATAGATAGAACATAGATAGATAGAACATAGATAGATAGATAGAACATAGATAGATAGATAGAACATAGATAGATAGATAGAACAAAGATAGAACCTTCCCCTTCCCCTTCCCCTCTCCTCTCGTCCTCCTCCCCCCTTCCTTCTCTCGTCCTCCACTTCTCCCCTCATTCTCTCGCCTTCCCCTTCCCCTCTCCTCCTCTCGTCCTCGAATTCTCCCCTCCTTCTCTCGCCCTCCCATTCTCCCCTCCTTCTCTCGCCCTTCCCTCTCTACCCACCCTCCTTTTCTCTGGCCCTCCCTTCTCCCCTCCTTCTCTCACCCTCCCCTTCTCCCTTCCTTCTCTCGCCCTCCCCTTCTCCCTCTCCTCCTCGCCCTCCCCTCTCCCCTCCTTCTCTCCCTTCTCCCCTCCTCTCTCGCCCTCCCCTTTCCCCTCCTCTCCCTCCCCTTCTCCCCTCCTTCTCTCGCCTCCCCTTCCCCTCTCCTCTCGCCCTTCCCTCCTCTCCTCCCCTTCCCCTCTCCTTCTCTCGCCCTTCCCTCCCCCCTTCTCTCCCTCCCCTCCTTCTCTCGCCCTCCCTTTCCCCTCTCCTCTCGTCCTCCCCTTCTCCCCTCCTCTCACCCTCCCCTTCCCCTCTCCATTTCTCGCCCTCCCCTTCCCCTCTCCTTCTCTCGCCCTCCCTCTCTACCCCCCTCCTTTTCTCTGGCCCTCCCTTCTCCCCTCCTTCTCTCGCCCTCCCCTTCTTCCCTCCTCTCGCCCTCCCCTTCTCCCCTCCTTCTCTCTCCTCCCCCCTCCCCTACTTCTCTCGCCCTCCCTTCTCCCTCCTCTCTCGCCCTCCCCTTCTCCCCTCCTCTTTCCCCTCCCCTTCTCCCCTCCTCTCGCCCTCCCCTTCCCTCTCTTCTTCTCGCTCTCCTCTCCCCCCTCCTTCTCTCGCCCTCCCCTTCCCCTCTCCTTCTCTCACCCTTCCCTCCCCTCCTCTCGTCCTCCCCTTCTCCCTCCTTCTCTCGCCCTCCCTTTCCCCTCTCTCTCGCTCCCCCACACCCCCCATCCCCCGTCTCCACTGCCAGACTATATCCACACAAACGAAGGTTGCTTAAAGACAGTCTGTTTTATTTCGGTTTTTTTCGTGGAAAGTAAAGCTGGAGTTAAGGATGCGTATGTAAGCCTGCGTGTGGAGTCGGAATTTGCTCCTGACCTTCACTGGCCTCTTCGTTTGACCTGTATCATCACTGCCGTTTGAAAAGAGGTCGTTTCGATATCGCCTGGCAATGTGCAAGACAAGGCTTAAGCGCAAACCCACAGACCATCACGCATCACACCCCGCTCGCTCCACGTTTTTCTAAAGGAAATCATGAGGGCTTGCTATGTGTCATGCCTAGCTCTAAGTAACATGCTTCGTTACATGCTGACATGCGCACGCCAAGGAGCTGTTTCACACCCCCGTGGTATAACGTTATTATAGGTTTTAAATGTGGTTCACCCATGACTCGCGTCCATAAAGTATAGTTGACGAAAGAAACAAATTTGGGAATGTGACACACCTTATTCTGCGCACAAGAGAAGATGATGGTGAACACACATTTCAAGTATGCGTGTCTGTCGTACCAATGCACCGTCACTCCATCCACATGAAACACAAATTCATCAAGATCTTAATCAACTAAAAAGAAAAAAAAAAAAAAAAAATGATTGTCATTCCATAATCATTTCAAAACTGATCAAGTATGGTTAACTTTCACGCCATCTCTGGACGCGGACAGACGGTGTTCATAAACATCAAGCCGCGACACAAGAGTGGAAACCGCATCGCACGCAATTTTCCTTCGGCTATTCAATTGGGTCGTTAATGAAAAGCACAGAGAGAACACACGAGGTTGGCGACACACACACACATATATATGTATACATATATATATATATATATATATATATATATATATATATATATATATATATATATATATATATATATATATGTGTGTGTGTGTGTGTGTGTGTGTGTGTGTGTGTGTGTGTGTGTTTATATGTAAATATATATATATATATATATATATATATATATACAGACACATATGAGTGTTTGTGTATGTACTTAGGGCCCGTGAGATGCCCTACAACAGTATGTTAATGTTGAGATGGGCGTAAGGCAGACAACCAGTATTCCTCTACTGAGGAGCAACGTCGGAGTAAGGCTCGAGATGTGCCTCCCCCCCCCCTCCTTGGCTCCGTGTCTGATGAGAGTTATATATCATGTATTAAACATAAGACAGTCGATGTTATAACAACACATAGCTCTCGCGGAAGAGGAAAGACAACACAATATTGGTATGTCTAGGACACAAGGAGCATGTGATCCAACGGGCAAAGCAATGGACATGAGCGCATGTAAATTATATTTATGCGAGAATATATATGATATAACAATAGCATATATACTTCAGTACTATGATAGAGATATAGCTTAGTTATATTGTCTATACATATTTATACATATCTGTATATATATATATATATATATATATAATATATATATATATATATATATATATATATATATATATATATATATATATGTATACATACATAGATAGATAGATACATAGATATAGATATATAGATTATATATATATTTATATATATTATATATAGTGTGTGTGTGTGTGTGTGTGTACGTATGTATATTACACACACACACATATATATATATATATATATATATATATATTATATATATATTATATATATATATATATATATATATATATATTATATATATATATATATATATATATATATATACATACATATATATATATATATATATATATATATATATATATATATATATATGCATATATAAAATATACATGCACACACTTACATACATACATACATACATACACACACACACACACACACACACACACACACACACACACACACATATATATATATATATATATATATATATATGTGTGTGTGTGTGTGTGTGTGTGTGTGTGTGTGTGTGTGTGTGTGTGTGTGTGTGTGTGTGTGTGTGTGTGTGTGTGTGTGTGTGTGTGTGTGTGTGTGTGTGTGTGTATGTTCGTCACACACACACACACACACACACACACACACACACACACACACACACATATATATATATATATATATATATATATATATATATATATATATATATATATATATATACGAATTGTTGATCATCCACGTTATATTCCACTCTCTTCGCATGCCGTCTGGGTCGCCACGAGTCGCTGCGTCTATTTCGCCGGTGGATGAGGCACCCTGAGAACAGAACGTAAGATTCGACACTTTATTGGTTTCTTTATATGACCTTCATTGTGGCCGTCAGGGCTTGGGCCGTTCGATATCGCATGATAATTCCATCTATTCCCTCTCGTTTTCATGAAGTATGGGTCAATGTTGCGTCTCCCTTTGCTCCTGCATTCACTCTGCTGTAACATCTTGTCCTCTTGCCGCAGCCCTTACGGAAATGCTACCTTTGTTCCCCTACAGCAGCCTCTCTCCAAACCATTGGTCAGAGGTGCTTTGTACAGGCGTGAGTGCTGGCGGCGAGAAGGAATGGGAATTGGTCTGGAACGAGTACCTGAATTCCAACACTACGCAGGAGAGAACCAGTTTCCTTACCGCTTTAGCATGCAGTGAAAATGCCACTATTTTGTCGAGGTAAGTCTGGCTTCGGGGGATTTATTTGGGGTTAAAGATAATG